CAAATTTTTAGTTAATTCGGCACGAGAATTGCTACAGGCAGGATAAACATGGATTTTTTTATATTTAATATTAAAGTTTTTTATTAAACAGTGTCTTTTTAATTCAGACAATTCCACTTTCGATCATAACCTCAACAAAGTTAAGCCCGGAAGGACGCTACAGACCCACAGTATTTATGCCACAGAAGACAATCGATTACTATGGTTGTTCTGAGACAGAACATGGTGAAAGAAATTGTAAAAAGCTACGATAAGAATCAACAAGGTTACAACAAGAGACTTCTGATCACAAAAAATCAACGCGGAGGTAGTCATGAGAGAAACAGAAACAGATACGTGCAAAACACCATATCGAGATTAAAATCGATAAAATCAGCAACTCAATTTAGACAGAGGAATGAACATGTAAAAAGAGGTAACTTTGGAAAATGATGACGATAACTAAGAATGACAGCGGTGTTTGTTTCATGAGTAGTTAAGGACAAGATGAGAAGGCTGTAAGCAAAGATGAGATCGTATTTTACATGAACTCAGGTTGTACAGGTTATCTAGTTAACAAGAATGAGTATGTTAAGGATATAAAGCTGTTAAAGAAACCGGTTAAGATGGCTATTGTGAAGTATGATAGTTTTATGGAAGCAGGTACAGGAATATTAAAATGTTAGCCATGTGACACTGAAAGAAGCTTCTATTCGTAAAGAGGCTAGGTCTGGTATTAAAGTAGTGTTTGAAAATAGGGTGAAACTATTTAATAATAGTAACTTCATAAATGGTACAAGTTCATACTTCTCAAATCGACATACAGGACATGATACAACCGAAACAATAAAGGTACTACGTGAAACAATAAGACGAGAATATGGAACGAACTTTTCTCATACGTGGCTTTGTTTTCGATTCTCGCGGTATCATCTGCTGGAAACTTCTAACGCAAGTTGAGTACCTGTGTCTATGCTGTAAGCTATTTTCCCTGCGGTTCTCAAAGCACACGAAGTTACCTATGGGTCAATAAACGTTTGGGTCTAAGAAACCAAAAGGTTCAGCTACGATTTCGAAAGAAAATTTGACCGCAGAAGTAATTATGAGCTATCGACGAAGAAAATTATAAACGAAAGTTGCGGAAATATCCTCTCATTTATCGTCGCGTATTTTTCACGAGTTTGCGCCAGTAAACAAATTAATCTACCCGTACTCGAAGAGCAGCTACAGAGAAGACTAATGAAGACTGAAGAAGTGAAGGAGGCCATGATGAGTAACGAGTCAGGAAGAGCGATAGATACGGAAAGGAGAAGAGATAGATGGAATAGTTTCATAGCATCTACGAGTTGAGAAAGAGGGGCAGAGAGGGTGTCAGATGGGATAGTTGCAGTTGCGAGGTCAATGGCCGACCAGCAGAGTCGCCCTGTTGGATCCAACCCACGAAACGAACAGAGGTTCTCAGTTATTATTCGCCTACTTTCTTTTCGTTGGGGATCATTTGTTCCATCTGAATATGCTACTCTACGCCACAATAAACTCTTTGACTATGTACAGGCTGAATTACCCTTCATGATTTTTCAACCCTTTCGAGTGGACTGACAAAAAATGTTTTGTACTAAAGATGATTAGTACTAAATTGATCAGTATTTAACCAACAAGACGTTGCAACTTTTTAGTAAAAATAAGTTGATTTTCCATAAAAATCAGTGACATCATAGTAGTTTTATATGGAAGTGAGTAATTTTAATGTATTACTGTAGATGATATTAAGAGGAACCTAACAACCTTATGATGATCTTCGAATGAGAGTTCAGAAAAAATTGGCATGAATTAATTGCCACGATATTCGAAATAATTCTGAGATACATATCATCAAGGTTTTGCAATTACACCTAAGCTATACAAATTTCGGAATGCAAATATTTAATTTAATTACGTGCATTTTAATACACACGTCATGAAGTTAGTTTGTCTAAATTTTTCTTTTGTTTTGTATGTCAAGTTTTGAAGTTGAATGAATGAATTATTATAATAATCGCCAACTAAATGTGTACGTAAAACGTCTGCTACTATAATTAATAGAAATCGCAATTGATTTCGCAAAATCAGTGCGTTGCATAAATATACAGACCTTCATTGTTTTTGGTAATTCGAGTTTTCAAATGAAAATTATGGCCAATATTCTGTAAATACTAATTCGTAGTGCGTGAACGAATTATATAAAAAATTTGGTGCATTAGCATAAATATTAAATCTATTGTATAGAAACCAAGTTTCTTTATATACACTACCGTCCATAAGTATCCGGACACTTGGTTTCGTTACATAAAACATAGTTGAAGTTTGTACAAAAGGTATTTAGGGTTATCATATCATTTGTAATAATTACTATTATCTTTTTTGAGGTGTCATAACGTAATAGAATTAATTTTTAAGTACAAATTATACAATGAAAGTGTGAAAGTAAAATTCATGTCCAGAAGTACAAAGTCCAAATTTGTGAATCTAATGAAACGCTTTCGATTCTAAAAAAAATTTAATTTCTACTGTGTTTCATTTCTATGGTGCAGAATGTATTCAGAGGGTTCTTCGATATGTTTCAACTGCTTGTAAACTGTTGGTAGATGTTTAGGTTCCCTCAAAGGAGATAAGAATGAAGGTAACGCTACGCACTCGACAGTTTCGGTTTAGTTCGTCTGTAGCTTTTTTTCCATCGAGATATGAATTCCAAACGAGAATTATCAATCGAAAAACGTTCCAGTATTCTAACCTTCGCAGAAAAAAAAATCGATTTTAGTTACTGTTGCAGATACTTGAATAATTTTCATGCAACGCGAATGCATATTTTGCTTGTGTCCAGATACTTATGGACGGTAGTGTACATATAATAATACGAAATTTAATAATTTATGATGCACTGCCACAAATTATGTTGAAAATTCAATTTGGCATATTACCGAAAAGATTTTTTATTACAACTGCGATTACTTGAAAAAATATTAACTATTTTAATATAAATGCTAATTTATAAACCAATGTATTATCCTGCACGAAAATTCAATTTCCGTTGTACAGTTTCGTGCGAAAGAGCTTTAAATAATTTCGTAACTTATCAATATAATTATGTTACTAGAAATAAATGCTATAGAATTTTTTCCGTGAATCGAGAAACACACACAAAGCATAACCGAACCACCACCGAAGTTGCATATCGAAAAATATTTCACGTTTTTTCGTATATCGTGCCAATACGAATTAACCGCTTGGTATGTAACATCGAATCAGACTCATGACGCACGTTGCAGTTCAAATGTGATAAACCGTATTTGCAGAAAAATCGAGTTTTGACTTCGATACCAACTGTAATTTGTATAATTGAAAATCGATAAATCCAAAATATACCTAATACTACGACGTTTTGTATTTATTTTCATACTGCAGCAATAATTAGCTAACTCTGACTGACGCAACTATCGAGAAATTTGTAGGTTAAAATTACTTGGCTCATCTAGATTGAACTTTCTCCCGGCAGTAAAAAAACAAAATGTAACTATAAAACATATGTTTGTTATAAAATAAATATTTTGACTAACATTTTCTCTTTTGTACAAAAGTTTACTCTAACGAATAAAAAGTCTGGCTGATTTATCGTCGTTTTCAGTCATGGCGCCGACATCATTTTCGCCCCCACAGTGTGCGGAGATATAATGGTTCTATGGATAGTTTTTGCAACGTTTAATTTGCAGTCATGTTGCAGTTCAGCAAACTATGTTGCCGAGTAAAAAACTGATCGGAGAATTATGTTTATCTCGAAAGAACATTTTTCAATGGCGACTTGAACGTTTCTTGTTGCCATGATTATAACTTTTACTAACATAATCGGTAATAGCTCTGATTATATTGTTTCGCAATATAACCATCACTTTTGCTTTCAATACGAAATGCATCGATCATGGCTGTTTCTCTCTCTGAAAGTTCTTTCCCACGAGGTATTTCAGAGTCTAACCTTTATAGAATCTTGCAAATGTGAACTGTAACAAATGAAAGTAACGGAATGAATTTATTTACCTATGTAGCTTAATGGACAACATAAAGAGAACATTAAGTTCAAAAATATATAATAAAACTTATTTTTGCAACATAGTATACACGTTATTGTATTAACGCATTAAGGACCGCAAAGAAATCTGTAAGGCATACGCCTGGGACCGCACGTTTTTGGGCAAACTTGTACGTTCTAAAATCATCATAGCTTTGTTATTTGTGAAGCAATTTTTGTGAAACTTTCAGAAATTGTATAATAAGATGCATTCTATGTATTATTGAAAAAAAGTTGTTTTTTAATAATTATAATAACTTTTTTACTTAAAAAATTAATTTGTACGAAATTTTTAGAAATTGTAGAATAGGATGCACTTTAGGTATTATTAGAAAAAATTGTCTTATAATAATTATTATAAATTTTTATTTGAAAATAAATTTCACCGAAGTTTCTAGTACTTTTTTAAAGTATGATATTGTGTGAAACATTTTTCTCTGTGAAGAGGAACCATACAAAATTTACATTGATATCTTGATTCGCTTCGTTCTCCATGGGCGGCACAAACTCTGCAGGGTCTCGTAGGAAATTTCTTTTTTCCATTCGCTGCAATGCTAGCAGGTTGATGCTGTTTCATATCACTTGACAACCTTCCGGGTGGATCTTTACATGGTGCTCTCCCTGCATCTCCAGGGGAAGGGTTCGGCAGATCTCTTTCCTGTTCCGGAGAGCCTTCATTATTGTCGTCCGTTATCCAGTGTCTTGCCACCGAAAGCAGAAATTGTTTGTACTTCATTTTGTTGTGTGGATTGAGTTCATTGTATACTCTAAAGGAATTGAAAAGTCCACAAGTTTATAAGATAGAGGACTACTTTTTTTGTCCATTTCATACTTTTTCTCAGAATGGGGTAATACGAAAGGAACTGATCCGCACGGACAACCCCTTTCATGTAATTATTATATTCATGGATGCAGGTAGGTTTTACAATGTTCTCTCCCGTTTTTCTATTTTTTTTCTAGTTGTCGAGACGAAAGTGTCATGAATGGTCGAGATCATTCTAATAATCCGCTTGTCTTTCCATGCGAGGAGAAGAATATCACTTTTTCTAGAAAATATTATATCGCCTTCCTTCATCGTTGATGTTTTTATTTTCAAATTTGGCGGTAAGCCTCTGCTCTCTCTAATAGTCCCACATACTCTAGTTCTGTTTTGGAGCAGCAATTCAGCAGTAGATGTACTATTATAATAATTATTTTGGTAAATATGGTGCCATATGCCAAGATAGGGACCAAGAACTGAAAGAATAGTTTGTTCCAATTTTCTTCCTTCAGCAGTGTATATATCCATATTGCATATGTAGCCGGTGTCACTCTCGCACACCATCCGAACAAGTAAACCATGTTTTGTCAGTTTTACTGGGTTGTACGTACGAAACCTTAGCCGTCCTCTCCATGGGATCATTCCCTCGTCCAAGGACAACTGTTGCTTTGGTTTGTATATTGTTCTGAATTTATGCAGGAAATAATCCAGCACGGGTTGAATTTTGAAAAGTCTCCCCGAGCGACTGTCCATTTTCGTATTATCATTGAAATGCCAAAATGTCCATATTTGTTCAAATCTATGGCGGCTCATTGTTTGTGCAAATATAGGGGTAAATACCAAAGGAGCTGTGGACCAATAATCTTTCCAGCTATCTTTTCTTGTTTGACCCATCAGAATAATTAGACCAAGGAATTTCTTCATGTCTTTCGGTGTAACCGAAGACCACTTGAGTGTTCTGGATGATGTTTTGCGTTTCATTGCGGTTTGATCGTGATAGCTGCACAGCTGTTTGCAAAAAATTTCAAATAATTCTTCACCAAAAAAGAGATTAGTCACAGAGGCTACAGAGTCACACTGAGATGGAAATGTAGTGACCCCAGGATGACCCTCAAACATTTGTAAGCGTGGTGGTGTGTCATTTTCAGACCAACAATTATCATTTCTTCGTCAGTGTCGAAATCACTTGAAAACACTGCCACCTTACTCTTCTTTACAGGTCTAATAATTTCACTGTCACTGGAATCGTCCTCGCAATCTTCAAAAGAGTCATCCGCATCTTCGTTCCCACTAGGAACGTCTGACAAATTATCGTCAAAAACTTCCGAAAGTATTTCAGCTTCGTTCGTTTCCATCTTTTTTCGAAAGGAGGCCATTTCTAAAAGGGCGAGGAACTTGAAGACGAAGGCTATTCGAATCACCAAAATGCAATGCAACGTGTCGAATTCTCTTTGAGATTAAGCTGTTTTTATTTTGCGTTCGTGCATTTATACAGTTTTTCGTAGCTTGATCTGTTCGGATTCCACCAAGGGGATCGTCTGGTCACCAGCCTTGGAGGTAGTAGAATACAATATATGAAAGTAAGTCCATCCGTAACAGATGGGACGTGAAACACGAGAAAACTCGTGAGCGGTCCTCAACCCTTTCGCTTCGAGCGCCGCTTATAAACGGCGCACACAATATGACTTGTGGGTACGAGCGTCGCTTAACAAAATTTAGCATACGTGCTTATACTATTAATCATTTCACATT